TCTTGAATATATAGAGATGATGATATATGAAAGAAAACGATCGCGACATTTTCCCTTTTTTTACAAATTGATTTCCTATTATATATATAACATATGTTCTTCAAACAACGGATTCTAGCCATATCAGTCATATACACTATTAAAATGCTATGAAATATTGAAAGATTGAAACTAATTTAAAATAATGACATAAAAAATATACTACTATACTTTCGTACCTGTTCTTCTCAACTGAAGTATCAAACTAAAAGTTACTTTTTAATAACTTAGCGCGGTAGATTAAAAAAAAGGTATGACTGTTCAAATATAAGTTTATTTGAATAAAAAAAAATGTTGTATTCTTATTACTTGGAGAAAACTAATGGAGCCCTGCCCGCCCCGGGGGAGGCGAGCGGGTACTGTAACTTCTTATTCACAAAAAACTCCAAGGTAACCTGACGTAGCACCTATTGATGAACCTAGAAATCCTAGCACAATTCACCAGCCCCGATTCAAAATACTATTCAGTCAGTTTCGTCTTTTAAACATCATTATAAAAAATATTTACTCCAAGTACAAAAACCTGAAACGTGGCAGAAATAGAAATAGAAATAAACTCAATACAAGTACTTTTGAATAGTCATATTTTGATTCTACCACTCATTCAGAATGCAGATTCATCACAAGAAGAATGAGCTAGAAACTTGTGTGTTGCTCTTTTTAGTAGATGTTTTTATATAAATAATTACTGTAGTTATATCAAGTAAGAGGCATGCGATAATTAACATAGAAATCGCTACGCACTCATTATTAGTGTAATCAGATAATATTGTCAGTGCTATGGATTTAAAGTTTTTCTATAAAAACATTATTATCATTAACGAATTCTTCAATTTTATAGTAAGCTTTTTTGCAAAGGAATTGTTTTATTTGACATTAAATCTTTTTTCTGGCAGATTTATAAATATGTTACATATATAAATATGTTACTTATATTATATTCAAGCTATATCATATTACATAATTAAGTCTTTCAATCAACACTTTTACGAAATTTTATACTTATATATTTTTCTTCTAATTATTACACATACTTATAATTACACATACATCTATTTAACTCACTCTTCATTTTATATATTTAAGTTCATCAAGAATGATATTTCTTTGTTTCAAGTGGCTCCACTGAAAATCAGCGCTATAGTGGTACGCCGCGGCACCAGCTGAGTGGAGGCCCTTTCAGCTCATAGCGAAATATTACTTTTTAAGTTTTCAATATTTTTACTCTGTACTATGATACTGAATAAATGATTATTATTATTATTACCAGTAAAACCTAATGCCCATTTTACACTCAGCCCGAGTGGGCAGGAAAGTGAGCAGCGCGAGAGTGGAAACACGAGTGGAAACACTTCCCATGCCATTGGCGCTGCCACTCGCGCTGCCCGGCGCTCCCTCGATTGTCGGTTTCTCGTGCGCGAGTCAAAGGACTGGCAGCGCGAGTGGCAGCGTGTTTTTACATTCAGCCCTCTCGCTCAGTTGTCGCCCGGCAATATTTCCGGCAGCGCGAGTGGCAGGGGAAATGGCTGAATGTAAACGTAGCATAAAATCTCTACTATAACATATATATTATATTTATTACTGATTTTGTAACTATCACTAATGCTAGATCATGCAGGTAGTTTTTTATTCAAATTTAAATTCTTACGAAATTGTATCCTTGGCTTTTGTGTAATAAAAGAATTATGCCTAATTATGGAAAATAGTATTCAAATATGAAAATTATATTCAATTTTTTTTGTCTAGTTCTTATAGACCTAACCATAAATAAACTTGTTTTAACGAACATATCATGTGAGTCATACTTAATAAAATCCAAAATATTTTAAGTTAATCCGCGTATCTTTACATAGCATAAAACATAGTCGCTACCGTTTTCTGTTCGCTTATATCTTTTAAATTACACAACAGATTTTAATGCCGTTTCTAGCAATAAATAGATTGATTTAAGAGGTTTATATGGTGAAGAGGTTTATCATTACATAGTATATATAAATACAAAACAAAGTCGTTGTCGCTATGTATGCTTAAATCTTTAAAACTACGCAACGGATTTTGAATCTGTTTTTTTGAATAGGTAGAGTGATTCAAGAGGAATGTTTATGTACATAATATATGTACTGTGCGAACCGGGGCGAGTAGCTAGTCTTAATATATATAACTCAAAGGTGACTGACATAGTGATCTATCAACGCACAGCCCAAACCACTGGACGGATCGGGCTGAAATTTGGCATGCAGGTAGATGTTATGACGTGGATGCCTACGTCATAACATCTACCTGCTAAGAAAGGATTTTGATTAATTCTACCCCCAAGGGGATAAAATAGGGGATGAAAGTTTGTATGAAACTTTGTCAATTTTAAACCAATCGGACTGAGACTTTGCATGCATAAAGCTACTATTTATGTTATCTGTGCTATGACGTAGGCATCCCCTAAGAGAGGATTTTGATTGGAAATTAACGCGAGCGAAGCCGCGGGTAAAAGTTAGTATATAATATAATACATGCGAGTTATAATATAGAACAATCCGAGATATTCAAAGTTGCGTAATGTATCCGTGCGAAGTCGGGACGGGTCGTTAGTTTTAGATAAATATAAAAAACAGGTTTCAGGCAAGGTTTTTGATCATTATATAAATACAATAGATCAAATCTGATTGAAGTTATATAGAACAATAGATTAACTCTCACGTTCTTAATCCACTTATCTTTTAATTTCCGTAAAATGTGGCAAAAATAAATCATTACATTCACCATAACGACCACGGTTCATGTTATGTTTGTATATATGTGCGTGCTGCACCACGCTCTTATAATGAACTAGCTTTTACCCGTGGCTTCGGTTGCGGTAATTTATCCCCTTAGGGGTGGAATTTATCAAAATCCTTTCTTAGGGAATGCCTACGTAATAGTAGTTTTATGCATGCAAATTCTCAGCCCGATTTTAAAATTGACAAAGTTTCATACAAATTTTCATCCCCTATTTTATCCCCTTGGGGGTAGAATCAAAATCCTTTCTTAGCGGATACCTACGTCATAACATCTACCTTCATGCCAAATTTCAGCCCGATCCGTCCAGTGGTTTGGGCTGTGTATTGATAGATCACTATGTCAGTCACCTTTGAGTTATATATATTTAGATTTATCTATACATCTACACATAACCTATTTGAAAACTTACTCGTAAAAGGCCGGCCACGCACTTGCTATTTGTCAGGTGTTGCAGATGCTCATGGGCGACGGTAATCACTTACCATCAGCTGAGCTGCAAGCTCGTTTATGCTATAAAAAAACTACCATTCAATAGAGACTTTATCTTTTTTTTTAATCTATAAATAAAATTGGAGTGTCTGTTTGTAATATTGAAATAACCGTTTCTTACTACATGTATATAAATATAAATACGGTATATACACCAAAATAACATTTTTTACAGTTTTTATCTGTCTGTCTGTTTGTTCCGGTTAATCTCTGAAATGGATAGACTTATTTTGATGGGACTTTTTTTGCCAGGTAGCTGATGTAATAAGGAGTAACTTAGGCTACTTTTATTTTAGAAAAATAAAGGTAATTTCCACGCGGACAAATTCACGGGTACAGCTAGTAGGACAATATAAGTCAGTGCGTTAACAGCAGTTTTTTTTTATATATCGGCCAGATTCGACCTCAATAATTTTTAATTATAATGAAGCATTAATTGGAAGTTAAGATGTCAAAGTTAACAATAAAACAATAGGATCACAAGATAAAGATTTCATTCCGTTTGTGATAGAAATGCGAGATGAATGAGCAAGATGGGAAAAGATAGTCAAATAAAGGATAAGAGGCATGATATATTGTCGGTTTCGGTGGTCTAGTGGTTTAGCACACCGCTTTACTTCCGATGGTCGCGGGTTCGATTCCTCGCACGGCACAAATATTTGTATTCATGAGAATGATTGTTTGTATCGGTCTAGGTGTTTTCTATGTATAATACATATGTATTTACAAAAAAAATCTATGTATTTGTATCAGTTATCTAGTACCCATAACACAAGTTTTAGCTAGCTTAACTTGGGTCAAGATGATGTTGTGTAAGTTGTCCTAAGTGTTACTATTATGCTAGTCATCCAGTATAGAAACTAAGGTGTGTTTTTTTTATTGGATGATTATGAAATATTACACTAGCCTGCGCTAACGACTAAGAAGTTGTATCATGACTGGTCACACGATAATGTCCTCTGTTCGAACAATGATTGCCCCTCTGATCCATCCCTCCGTCCAACTTAAACGGAGATCGAAGTTACGGCGGCCGAGGTTCGAACCCCTAGCGATGCCCCAGACTAAAGTCGTATCCGTCAGGCGGGAGTTGGCGTTCAGCCGTTCTATAAGTCCTTCCGCGGGTTTGGTGTGCCATCTGCACTCACCCCTATCATCCGGTGAAGCTGTAAACGGCGCTGCGGCCAACAGCATTAGAGTAATCCGAAAAAAAATTTATTTTCAGTAATGCTATTCATATTTTTTAGAAAGAAAACAACATGAAGAATATTGTCTTTTATTTCAAAAGAAATATAGCTTTTTAATAAATATTAGTCCTTGACCGACTGGAGTCGGTCGGTTTAGCACACCGACTTACTTCCAATGGTCGGGGATTTGATTCCTCGCACGGTTCCAACATTTGTATTCATGAGTATGATTGTTTTCTACATATGCATTTATATCATCTGTCTAGTACCAATAATATAAGCTCTGCTTAGCTTGGGACTACATGGCGCTTTGTAAATTTAGTTTGCCATCTGCACTCGCCCTCTATCGTCCGGTGAAGCTGTAAAGGCCAGCTGCGGCCAATAGCATTGGAGTAGTCCGAAAAAAATAACTTGTGAAACTTTCAGGATACACAGAACTTTAAGCCTAAAACTATAGCGTACGAAGCTATATATTGTATGTGAGATGCGCACGCGCAGGTCAATACGGATCGACACGCGCGCAGAAGTAGCCGCGTCTAGTGTAGTGAATATGCAGTGTATGTGATAGTACAGCCCAAGGAAACATGGTGAGCTAATATTTTATATATACATATCAATATATAGAAATAATTGGAGAAGTTAATTATACCACTATAAAAAGAATACAATATAACATAGAGTATAAAAATGAACAGATGATAAAATAATAAAAATGTCAGTCTAAATATAATGAAATATTATCATAATTTATATAGGTCATATATAATTTTAATTGTATGTTTATTGTTACTGATGGTTACTATCATTTAATGAAAATTGCGATGAATTTCACAATTTTGAAAAGATTCTTTTACTTAATAAAGTTTCCAATGGGAAGTCACTCTACATGATAGCATCACAGAATATATTCGCTTATAGTCCTGAGACTAATCGCAAATGTACTCAGACAAATAAAAAAAAAGTTAAAATGCATTTTTTATTACCATTCCATAATAATTCATTATTGAAATTATAAATGGTTCAACCTAATTATCTAATAAAGATAAATGACTATTATAGATCATTATACCTAATTGCACAAAATATAGTAATTAAGATTAAATATACAGCTGACAAAATTATATATTATTGTGATTGAATGAGGCTAAGAGATGCGCGCGCGCATGTTGCAACCGAAGGCCGTGGAAAGGTTAGGCAGTTGACCGGTCGCTGCAGAACTGCACTTGTTGTTAATTCGTTTAACTCAGTTTAACTTTAGTTTTCACTTCAAAATAATTTTTTTTTAAATATCTATAAATAATTTCTATTTCTACATTACTTGACATTTACCATTATATTTCGCCCAGTTTAGATAATATCTTATTAATTAATAAAAATAAATAGCCTATGTGTTATTCTAATTATAAGCTATATTACTGTAAAGTTTCATTAATATCCGTTTAGTAGTTTTCGCGTGAAAGAGTAACAAACATACATGGATACTCACAAACTTTCGCGTTTATAATACTAGTAAGATGTGTAAAAAATACATTATTTTGACAAATGTTAGTAATAATAATTAACCACGCATTCTTCTTGACAAACTCTTACTTTTGGCTAAGATCCGTATGGTTGAATATTATCTTCTTTTATCAAATAAAAGAAGAGAAGATAAAATATCTTTTGAAATAAATGTAACCCTGAGCAATTTACACAGCGCCATCTAATCCCAAAATAAGGAGAGCTTGTATTACCAATAACACAAGCTCTGCTTAGCTTATGACTAGATGGCGTATCATCGCAACGCATATCTATGAGTTGTTCTGAGTTATAATATAATTATTATTTCAGTTCATAAAAATATCTACGAAAAAAATTATATGAAAAAAATCTTTATTGTTCTTCTCAAATAAAGACAGTTACATAAATAAAGTTATATCCATAAAAAAATTTACAGCGTTCCTAATCTATACATCTATACATATAAATAAAATTGGAGTGACTGTTTGTAACATTGAAATAACTGTTTTTTTCTACATTCATATGAATATAAATACATAAAATAATAAATTTAAGTATTTTAATATAAAAAATACTACATGTATTGTTGCCATTATGTTTGTGAGGAGAAATAAATAAATCATATTATTATTAAAAAAAAAAAAAAATACTGTACATACACCAAAATAACATTTTTTTCAATTTTTGTCAGTCTGTCTGTTTGTTCCGGCTAATCTCTGAAATGGCTAGACCAATTTTGACGGGACTTTTGTTGGCAGGTAGCTTATGTAATAAGGAGTAACTTAGACTACTTTTATTTTAGAAAAAATAAAGTTAAATTCCACGCGGACGAAGTCGTGGGTCCACTAGTATTGAATAAAAATATTGACTCAGATGACGATGTCACACATCTCTAACAAAACTTAGGAAGTTGATGTGACATTGACACAGTTCACATCCACAACCTGAAGTTAACTTGAGGAGTTAACTAACGCAGATAGACTAAAATACAAGAGGAATTCCTTGTTGGCCTCTAGATTGATCTATGATGCTTATCATATCTCATTACGTGAAAACAACACGACACTGCGAATGTAAACAGGTAGTTAATTTTGTATAAATAAAGTTTTATTTATTTATAAAATTCATAATATTAATACTTCAAACTTTGTACCCCTCTTTAAGAAATTTTTTTACGCGGACGCAATAGTATGACATTTTCCACTTATAGTATATACTACTCGCCCCGGCTTTGAACGGCGTACATGTATAATACATATAAATCTTCCTCTAGAATCACTCTATCTTTTTAAAAAAAACCGCTTCAAAATCCGTTGCGTAGTTTTAAAGATTTAAGCATACATAGCAACAGACTGCGATAGTGACGTTATTTTATACTATGTAATGATTTACTACATATTACATAGATTAAAAAAAAAGTCGCTGTCGCTGTCTGTCCGTCCGTATGTATGCTTAAATCTTTAAAATTACGCAACGGATTTTGACGTGGTAATTTTAATAGATACGAGTGATTCATGAGGAAGGTTTATATGTATTATACATGTACACCCTAAGCATTCTAAATTATGCATAAAAATACATAAAATTAATAAAGAAAACATTATGTTACAGTAGTGTGAAGTAATCGATTAAACATTTTACGTATCTCTATTGAAAATTAAAACCAATAGAAACAGGTTTTGCTAATATTGAATCATGATTATTGACGTATGTATGTAACATTTATAGTAAAATATTATTACGAAATAATTTAGTAATATATAACTTTTATATGTTTTATTTCGTCAGTCGACTTTTTAGCGGAGTGTGCTTTTTATTGACTGCTAGACATGTTTTATATCAACACTAGTAAACTATGGTTGCAATTTAAATAATATATATATATATATATATATAAAAATTGTAAAATTATAGGTTGGTTCTTTACCACCACTGCCCATCAACAGCTTTCTGTTCTTACCTAATGGTTAACTGGTAGACAATGCCATATGACATTAAGCTCGCTAAATTGTACAATTTTTAAAAGTGCAATAAAGAATAAATAAATAAAAATAAAAAAAAAATAATCATATAATTATTAGTCACTACATACTACTGGACATTATTATTTAAACAGCAACCATATGAAATCAGGTTACTAGTGTTGATATAAAGCACGACTATGTATATACAAACTTTCCACTCTATCGATTGCTGAAAACTGCATTAAAATCAATTGCGTAGTTTAAAAGATCTAAGCGTCTAAGTTCTAAGCGACAGCGGGAGCGATTTTCTTAAGCGGCAGCGAGAACGTTTTTGCGTTATTCTATGTAAAAATAATATTTATAATATATGATATACATTTTTTTCTATTTATAGTAAATAGACGTTTTTTTGGGTCATGTATTATGTATTTAAAAAATACACATTAATAAAAGAAAATAAATAAATATTAACACAGTTTTAAAACAATAACGTTTGTGCTTATAGTAATAAATACAAATATAATAGTACCTAAAATAAAAGTTTCTACTTAGATTAGGTACCAGTGAACAATTTCTATTGTAAATATAGGATGCAAAATAAAAATTATTATTATTAGTAATTAATAAAATATATTGCAATACTGTATTATAAATTATATTACCTACTATATTATGAACATATATAGAAATTCCAATCAAATATAATGACTTTAAAGTATTGCATATAGTTATATATATAGGCTCATAGTAATCAATGGATCTTTATAAAAAAAGGAATACAGTTACACTCTATTTTACGACCAATATCCTCCCATTGTGCTTTAAATTAATCGATCGATATCTGAATGGCGATAAAATAATAAAATATTAAAATAAAATAAAAATCTTGATACTATTTCTGTAATGACGACGACCTTGGTGGTGTAGCGGTTTAGCACACCGCTTTACGATCTATAGTCGCAGGTTCGATTCCTCGCATGGCACAAACATTTGTATTCATGAGTATGATTCTTTGTGTCGGACTGGCTGTTTTGTATGTATAATATGTATGTATTTACGAAATAAAAATATCTATGTATTTGTATCTGTTGTCTAGTACCCATAACACAAGCATTAGCTAGCTTAACTTGGGTCTAGATGGCGCTGTGTGAATTGTCCTGAGATTATTATTATTATATATACTGTATATTTAGTTACTTGACCAGTTGATTGTGTATTTATTATTGATTTTGACTCTAAAGAATTAGTGCTAATTGGTAATTTGTATTCACATATTTCAACTTCATTATCATTACATAGTATAAAATAAAGTCGCTGCCACGTCTATCCCTATGTATGCTTAAATCTTTAAAACTACGCAACGGATATTGAAGCGATTTTTTTAATAGGTAGTGTGATTCTAGAGGAAGGTTCATATATATAATACATGTACACCCGTGCGAAGCCGGGGTGAGTAGCTAGTAAATATATAAAGTTACAACAATTATTTAAAAGAGCAACACGCAAGTTTCTTACTCGTTCTGCTTGTTAGAGGACAGCTCTCCGTAAGAGCTGTAGTATAAAAAAAATACTTATTTTATATGTTCATATCTATAGAGATTTTTTATTCTATTCTAATAAAAATTTGCATTGATTTATTTGTGGACATTCTAAGTCATTATTATTTTTATATAGAGCGTAAATTACTCAAGGTTGATCATCCAATGGGCAGGAAACATCTTCATCAATAAAATTACGACCATTAAATACAAAATGTCGGTCAAAATTAATGAAATACGCAATTTTAATTGCAACATCCATCATAAAAACTTTATAAATGCAGGATACAGTAAGGACACGTCATCTGCAAGTTAGTTGGTATTTATACTGCCTACATTAAAACCTTGATCCGAACTAGTAAATCCTAATAATAATAATAATCTCAGGACAATTCACACAGCGCCATCTAGACCCAAGTTAAGCTAGCTAAAGCTTGTGTTATGGGTACTAGATAGCTGATACATTTTTTTCGTAAATATATAACCGATACAAACAATCATACTCATGAATACAAAATGTTTGCGAGGAATCGAACCCGCGAGAATTGGTCGTAAAGCGGTGTGCTAGACTGCTAGACCACCGAG